TCCATCCTTTTTGACAGCGATGACAACATCAAATGGGTATGCCAAGATATGAACTTAGGCGAGTCCCAGGAATTTAGAGACTATATGGAAAGACTTCAGGACCATATGTAAACACACACACACACACACAGACAGACAGACAGACAGACAAACACACAGAGACACACCTATACATATATAAATATATATAAAACAAAACACAATTATCTTTTTATGTTTGTATTCACCTTTATGCCTTCTGTTTTATGGGTGATGGAGCTGCGAAACCCAGCCAATGATGGGGGAACACTTCTCCAGATTGGGGAGATCTGGGGGCCTCACGATGGTCGTGAGATGGAAACCCTGGCTGTCTTCTCCTTCATTTGGATACCAAACAGCTACCTACATATCTCGGAGGAACACAACGAACCTTTTTTTTTTCTTTTTGTACGCCACCGGAAACTTGCGATAGCCAATCCTGTTCAAGCTCGAGACAAAGAAGATAGGTTGGTCCGTTACGTCTTCACACGTCGGAAAAAACATTTTGGAGACTGGGTTGGGGTGGGATTGATTTCTTTGATTTGTTCCCCCCTAGAAAATCTTTGTAGAAGCACAGTCGAGATTCTGTCTTCGTAGCCGGAATCAACCCTCCTTGTAAAAAAAAAAAGAAAAAAGAGAGAGAGAACAAAATGGCCAACACAGGCCAATCTACCCTTTTTAATTTCATTTTAATACCGTTCATTTGTTTCGCAGTATTGTTTAAAGAGCTTTCTTAATTTTTTCTTTTAAATTTTTGGGTGGGAGGACAGAAGAGATGGGATTGGGAGGGTGGGTGTGTTTCCCGGTACATTATATGCCTTTTCTTTTGAGAAGACTTTTCAATCTTGGTTGTGCCAAAGTATCCTGCAATATAGTCCTATGAAGACAGCACCATGTTTAGTTGATAATAAAAAGAAAAGAAATATATATATATATTCACTGGGAGCAGCAACAAATGTGCCCCGATTGAATAAGCAGCAGGGGTTTTTTGTTTGTTTGTTTGTTTCGGTGGAAAAAAAATTGCTTGTTTGTATAAAACACCTGTGTTCCATTTTGGTAGAGAGCTTCTCACCTCCTCATTTGGTAACTGGAGAAAGGAGAGCGAGACTATGAAGATTGGCATGTGGGGTGTTTATATATGTGAAAAAGCAGAGTAAGATTTTGAGCAGAGGTAAGTTTGCAGAGCAGGGGTCCCCAAACTTGGCCACTTTTAAGACTTGTGGACTTCAACTCTCAGAATTCTCCAGCCAGCTTGAAGTCCACCAATCTTAAAGTTGCCAGCTTTGGAGACCTCTGATGTAGAACTTGCCCGGTCTGAGGCTACAGTCTCTCTCTGATAAATAATACAGAGCATAGACTCCTAGGGATGGAAAGGTCTTTGGAGTTCTTCTAGACTACCCCTTGCTCAAGGTAGGAACTTTACACCATCCTGCTCAAATGATCATCCAGTTTATTTCTGAAAATCTCTAGTGATGGAGCACTCAGAGCTCGGGAGGCTAGCTGTCCCACGGATGAATCGTTCTCACTATCAGGAAATCCCTCCTTCGTTCCAGATAGGATCTCTCGTTAATGATCTTCCACCTGTTACTTCTTGTCCTGCTCTCAGGTGCTTTGGATTGACTCCTCCCCTTGTCTGTGATCCGCCCCTCAAGGACTGGAATGTGCCCCAATGCAGCTCATTGGGTTAATTCCATTCAGGATATCTAGGATCTCTCTTCAGAGTTTTGGAGGATTAATTCAGCGGCAGAAAAATATAAACACAGATGGCTGATTTAATGTCTTTATAAAGATAATAAGTAGATTTTACAAAACCAGTTGTAGATTTCTCCAACATGGAACAAACTCAGACAGAAGCAGGCATGTTACAAATGCAGAGTTTCAGCAGTAACTTCCGCAACTCAGAAACAGACACCAGTTTCACTTTAGTTCAGCAGGCAAGCAGAGGAGAGAAGCAGTTTTGTTTTTAACAGACAGACTCCGAGCTTAACCTAGCTTCAGAGTTGCAGAGCTTAATATAGAGCCACGCCTAGGCCACTTCTAGTTTCAGTTTCCAGCCTAGGCTAATTCTAGTTTCAGTTTCCAAACAGTTCTCATTGGCTGACTTAGTTGCTATGCCTGTTTATTGGCTGACCTTGTTACCATGCTCGATTCCAGTTCATGAATATACTCTGACAGTCTCCTGCTTCAGCAGGGGGTTGGACTAAAGTCCCTTCCAAATCTGTTATTCTATTCTATTCTATTCTATTCTATTCTATTCTATTCTATTCTATTCTATTCTATTCTATTCTTATCCCTATCCCTATCCCTATCCCTATCCCTATCCCTATCCCTATCCCTATCCCTATCCCTATCCCTTATTCTATTCTATTCTATTCTATTCTATTCTATTCTATTCTATTCTA